TCCCACCCAACTGGGGTGGGAGCTCCGGGAATGTCTGCCCGCCTGCAGGAGGCTGGGCGCCTTCCCCGCGCCCCTCCTAGTCCCACATGTCTGTGCGCATCCCCCCCCCCTCCCCTCCCCCGCCTTCACAGGAGGGCGCGGCCAGGGTTTCCCCGCAGGAGATGGGCCCGGAGCCCCCAGGCTCTCCCCTCCCCGCGCCCGTGACTGGGCCTCCTCTGAGCAGGCTTCCTGAGGGGAACCTGGGAGTGGCCCACACCGGTGACTAGGGTGGACCTCAGCCCTTCCCCCAGCCCACCCCGTGGCAGGAGCAGCAGGAACCACAGGAACCTCCGCCTATGCCCCAGCGTGGTGGGTGGGCCCAGGGAGAGTGGCACCTCCTGACTGTTCCACCCCCCCCCCAGTGCTCCAGGCCCCCAGCCCCCCAGACCCGGGCAGCAAGGCTGGGGAGCTGGCGCTTTCGGGTTTAAATTCACCCTCGGAGGCCCTACACATTTGTCCCCAATTAAAATGAGGCAGCCGGCCGGCGTGGCTCAGGGGTTGAGGTTCCACCTATGAACCAGGAAATCTCAGGTTCGATTCCCAGTCCGGGCACAGGCCGGGGCTGTGGGCTTGACCCCCAGAGTGGGTGTGCAGGAGGCAGCCGACCAATGATTCTTTCTCATCATTGATGTTTCTCTCTCTCTCCCCCTCTCCCTTCCTCTCTGAAATCAATAAAAATATTTAACAATAAATAACTAATAAAAGGTTGAGGCAGCCCTGGCTGGTTTGGCTCGGGGGATAGAGCATCAGCCCAAGGACTGAAGGGTCTGGGGTTCGATTTCAGCCAAGGCACCTGCCTCGGCTGCAGTTTCCCGGCCCTGATCAGAGCTCATGCAGGAGCAACCCATCGATGTGTCTCTCTCCTCTCGGTGTTTCTCTCTCCCTCCCCTTCCACTCAAAAAAAAAATCAATGGAAAATATCCTTGGATGGGGATTAACAACAACAAACTGTCGACGTAAGAAACTGTAAGAACTTTTGTGCGTGTATCTGAGCCAAACTGACAACTGCCAGGAAGCAGACTCTCAGCGGGCTGAGCAGATGCTTCGAGAACGCTCTGCAGCTGTGCCCCATCAGGAGGGTCACTGAGATCCCCGGCGGAGATGAGGGAGGTGGGAGGAAGCGCAGGGACCCTCTGGGGTGGGGTAAGAAGTAAAGCAGGGAGTGAGACCACATGTTTTCCATCCGCGAACCGCCCAGCACGCAGAAGTGTATTCCGGGAACGAGGGCCCGAGGCGTCCGTGGTCCCTGCTCCGGGGGAGGCGGCGAGGGAGGGAGACTGGGACATTCCTAGGGCTGTTATCTCAGAGGCCACACTCCGGGGAGGGACACACTGACCTTTGTCCGAAGACGCCGGCCGAGGACATGACCACCCGCCACAACCCGCGTGCAGTCGGGAAGTTTAATCCAGGCCGTCCTGTGTGGTTGCTGGGGGTCTCCGGTTTGTAAGGCTGCCACTGAGCTTGCCAGGTTTACTACGTGGCTCCGGCCTGGCCGGCATGGCTCAGTGGATGAGCGTTGCCCTAAGAACCAGGAGGTCAACGGTTCAATTCCCGGTCAGGGCACAGGCCTGGGTTGCAGGCTTGATCCCCAGGGTGGGGCGTGCAGGACGCAGCCAATCAGTGACTCTCATCATTGATGTTTCTATCTTTCTCTCCCCCTCTTCCTCTCCCTTCCTGTCTGACATCAATAAAAATACTTTTGTTATGTGGCCAAGGCCAACGCCCTGATCAGGCCTGATGGCGAGAAGCAGGCGTATGTTCGACTGGCCCCTGACTGTGAAGCTTTGGAGATTGCCAACAAAATTGGAATCATCTAAACTGATCCCAGCTGCCCAATTCTAAATAGAAAAATCTTACACTAAGAAAAACACACACACAACAACAACAACAACAAAAAAAATGTGGCTCTTTCTCACCACAAAAATGTCCCCCTGGTCCTGGCTCTCCCCACCTGTGCCCCAGAGGTACCGTAGGGTCAGTGTGCCTCCCCCTCCCTGCCCCCACTCGGGGGGAAGACCGAGGGCAGGGACCGCAGCCCAGGGGCTCTGACAGCCCAGGACCACGCACAGGCGCCACGCGGACGGGGGCCGGCACCACGGAGCCCCCACGAGGGTCTTCTGGGGCTGCCCCCCCCCCTGCGCTGTGGGCTCTGTCCCATCCTGCGGGCCCCACAGGTGGAACTCACCGGCAAGGCCGCCCTCCCTCCAGCTCCCTCTGACCCTGAGCCAGGGTGTCCCTGCTGGTCCCAGACCCCAAAGGTGGTGCCCTCCCCCTCTCTGTGGAACGGATGCCAGGCACCCTTCCTCGCCGGGGCCTGGCCCGGTGCGAGAGCGCTTAACCTGCCTGCTCTTCTGATGCTTCTTCCTGGGATCCCACGGCCTCCCTGACGCGCCGCCCCCTCTCTCTTGCTTAATCGTCACGCCTCCGGGGCCAGGAGGCTCTGGACTTCCTAGCCCAGCCTCGGCTGGTGACAGGCAGCCTTTACGACATCAGCCTCAGTTGTGCTTCTGCTCCAGGATGACCCACCAACCGCCTCCCGGGAAGCCAGACACGTGATGCCGGCGCCGTGGGCCCCGACGCCCCTCTGGCCCTCGCGGCCACCCATCCCCACGGTCCCCCAGCATGAGCACCGCGCCCCGGGCCAGGCACCACCAGCTCCCCAGGGAGCCTCACTTCTTGGCTGCAAAGCCCGGGTGTCCGCTGGCTCTGCTGCGCAGGCTCACGCGCTCCGGGCGAGCGGGGCCCAGTCCAGGGTGCGGCTCCTCAGGTCGGCCCCGGGGACGGAGGGGGAGGTCGGCTCTGGGGACAGGAAGCTGTCCATCCGTCCGCTCTGAGCCCCGTGCTCCCCCTGAGTCCCGTGCTCCTTGAGCCCCGTGCTTCCCTGAGCCCCGTGCTCCCCCCGAGCCCCGTGCTCCCCCTGAGCCCCGTGCTCCCTGAGCCCCGTGCTTCCCCCGAGCCCCGTGCTCCCCCCGAGCCCCGTGCTCCCCCCGAGCCCCGTGCTCCCCCCGAGCCCCGTGCTCCCCCTGAGCCCCGTGCTCCCCCCGAGTCCCGTGCTTCCCCCGAGCCCCGTGCTTCCCCCGAGCCCCGTGCTCCCCCCGAGCCCCGTGCTCCCCCGAGCCCCGTGCTCCCCCCGAGCCCCGTGCTCTCCCCGAGCCCCGTGCTCCCCCCGAGCCCCGTGCTCCCCCCGAGCCCCGTGCTCCCCCCGAGCCCCGTGCTCCCCCCGAGCCCCGTGCTCTCCCCGAGCCCCGTGCTCCCCGAGCCCCGTGCTCCCCCGAGCCCCGTGCTCCCCCCGAGCCCCGTGCTCCCCCCGAGCCCCGTGCTCCCCCTGAGCCCCGTGCTCCCTGAGTCCCGTGCTCCCCCTGAGTCCCGTGCTCCCCCTGAGCCCCGTGCGTGGAGGGGAAGTGACTGTCCAGCGTCCTAACCCCCGCCCCGCCATCCCCCCATCCTCCTCAGGAAAGGGGAAGGACACTGCGGGCTGACACGAAGCCGGAGGACGGGCTGCCCGGACCCCAAACCCCGAGAACGCCGCCGAGCCCCGCCCTGCCCCCCAAAGAAATCACTGCACGCGCTTCCGAAATCAGCTTTATGTGATCGACAAACCGTACAGGGACACTCGGCAACACAGAGGCAGTGCTGCCCCACAGCAGCCACGGCACCCGACAGCGAGCCCCGCGCACAGGCTCCGCGCCCGCGTCCACGCCCGCTCCCGGCCAGTGCCTGGCGGGGGACCAGCCCGCAGAGAGCTGGCCCACCGGCGGTGCCCTCCAGGCCCAGTCACTCACGCCGAGTCTGCGGGGGGGGGGGGGGGGGGGGGAGAGACTGAACCCTGTCTTCCTGGGCAGGACCAGGTGCTCGCCAGGGCCGGGGACGAACGGAGGCCGTGGTGGGCAAAACCGTGGGCCCCAAAGATGCCCACGCCCTAACCTCTGGAACCTGGGACCACTGAGGCTGGGGGGGGGGGGGGGAATGAAATCAGGTTGCCAACCGGCTGGCCTTCGGAGAGAGCGGATGGGCCACAGGTAACGCCGGCTCCCGGCGAGCGGAAGCGGGAGGCAGGAGGGGAGCACCATGGGTGCAAGGCTCCAGTCCGGAGCGCGGCCTCTGAGCACCGCAGGAGGCCGGAACCCTCCCCTGGAGCTGCCAGCAGGGCCCGGGACCAGAACTCTGGCCCCCAGAACTGAGAAGCTAGTCTCGTCTTAAGCTAAGTTTGTGGAAATTCGTTACAGCAGCAGTGAGAAACTAGCATAGGTGCAGAGGGGTCAGAGGTCAAGCTCGTCCAGCCCGGGCCTCAGCCGGACTTCCAGGTGGAGGACCCAGGAAGACACCCCTGGGGCTGGGCCTGCTGGGGGGCAGGCTGAACCCTAGAAGACCCAGGAGGCCCCTTCTGGGCAGGGGGTGCCTGCGGGCAATGCCAGCAGAGAGGGGTCGTATGAGCTGCAGGGGTGAGGGGTGGGGGTGGGGGCAGCCTGGAGGGGCTCTGATGCGGGCTCTGCCCAGCCTGCCGTGACTGCCCGCCCCTTTCCAGGCCGATAAGAGCTCTTTCTCTCCTTCCCTCCCAGCTGCTTCCATTCCAGACCTGTGAGCAGCTGGGCGCAGCCCTGGGGGAAGGGGCAGGCAGGTAAGGCTCGGCCCCGGCCCTAGGCACTCAGCCCCGGCCACGAGGGCAGCTCTGAGGCGGACGGGAGGCCCCTGGAGAGGAGGTGACCCAGGCCGCTGACCCCTGGCCACTCTGCCCCCTTTAGTGCATGACGATCAACGGCCACTTCTCAGGAGTGGCCTCCGGCTGGTAAGGAACTGGGACCCGTCCGGTCCAGCTGCCCCGGGTCTGCCCCAGGGCCAGGGATGGCAGCAGCAGCAGCAGCCTGAGGCCGGGAGGGCTGGAAACAAAGTGGGGTGACTGGCTCCAAGTGGGGTGCGTCCGAAGCTCGCCGGGCTCACAGCAGGTCCGTCCACAGGAAAAGCTAACCAACCTTTATAAGTGAAAACAGCGACTTGGGCGACTCGTAGACCCCCGTGTGGATGTCCAGGATGCTCCGGATGGCCTTGACCTCACTGCTTGACAGGTTCCCCTTGATGGCCAGGATAGCGCTCAGGTGGTCTTTGCTGGCAGGAGGAAGTCCCGTCAGTCCAGCAGGTCTCTACGCCCCTGCTCACACCTCCCCTCTCCAGCCTCCCGGCCTGAGCCACAGCGCCGACAGCTCCGCCTCTTCCTCCCACGGAGCCCGGCAGCATGGCCGCCAGGCCCCCGCGGGCACCCAGCTCCTGCCTCCTCAGGCCTTTCACCGGCTGTCCCTGCTGGAGTCTCCTCCACCGCTCCGAGGTGACAGCTCCTCTCAGCTTTAAGCCTCAGCTCCAATGTCACCTCCCCAAAGAGGCTTTCCCACCCTCCAGTCATCACCTCCTGCCAGTCACATCATCTGTACAACGCGTGTTCCTCTGCCTGATCATTCATTACTGTGAGCCCTCAGCGGACTGTAAGCCACCTGAGGGAGGGCTGAGGCCTGCTCCGTCTTGCACATCATTGCTTCCTGGTACCTAGAGCAGAGCCTGGCACCTAAGACCACTGGTAACTGTGGGAGGGATGATGAGTGGATGGTAGGATGGATAAATAGGCGGGTGAATGTATGGATGAAAGAGTGGATAAATGGATGAATGAATGGGTATACGGACTGATGGATGGATGGATAGATGGATGGATGGATGGAAGGAAGGAAGGAAGGAAGGAAGGAAGGAAGGAAGGAAGGAAGGAAGGAAGGAAGGAAAGAAGGAAGGAAGGATGGATGAATGAGTGGATGGATGGCTGAGGAGTGGATGGATGGGTAAGTGAATGGATGGATGGATGGATGGATGGAAGGATGGATGGATGGATGGATGGATGGAAGGATGAATGGATGGATGGATGGATGGATGGATGGAAGGATGGATGGATAAGTGAGTGGGTGGATGGCTGAGGGGTAGACGGGTGTGTAAGTGAATGGAGAGATGCAGTGGTGGATATGTAGATGAATGGATGGCTAGATGGCTAGATGTGGATGGTGGGTGAGTAGACAGCAAGATAGCGAGCTGGGCGGTTAGATGAGATGGGAGATGCTGCTTGGATGGGTGGGTGGGTGGGTGAATAAATGGGTGCATGTGTGGGTAGGCGGGTGGCTAGGTAGATGAGTGCAGTGGATCAGTCAGGGGCTGCACTAGACTGAGACAGCAATCCAACTCAGGGCCCCTTCAAACTTCCTCCTCCATGTCGGAGGACTCGGCCCAAAACCCCATTTCCTTGCTCATAAGATCCTCAGGCAGCCTCCACTCTGGAACAGGGGCATGTGCCCAGGTTGTGGGCTTGATCGCCAGGAGGGGGCATGCAGGAGGCAGCTGCTCAGTGATTCTCTCCCATCAGTAATGCTTCTGTGTGTGTGTCTCTCTCTCCCCCCTTCCTCTCTGGAGTCAGTACAAATATGTTTAACGACGACAAAAAGGAAAGCGTCAGCCTGGTAGGGATGAGCCGCTGTAAGACCTCGCCCGGGAGCCGGCATAGTCCCAGCCCAGGCGAGGTCCGCAGCCAGGACTGCGTTGCGTGGCCGGTACTGGAGGGCCCGCCCCAGAGGGGCTGGCTGCAGCCAGGACTGGCAGGGCCATTCTGACTGCCCAGGTCCTGTGCGGCCCTGTCTCACCTGAAGTCAGGGTACAGGGTGGCATAGGTGGCCACCTCGATCTTGATGGCACTGGGGTCCTGCAGGCGGATGATCTCGGCGAGCGTGGAGAGGGCGGGCTGCAGCCAGGTGGCCGGGGAGCCCTGCGGGCACGGGCCTGGTTGGAGGGAGCTGCCTGGCTCCAGAAGTGCCCCGGGCCCAGCAGGGGTCAGGCCGGAGCACTGAGCTCGGAGAGGCCCAGCAGGCAAAGGCAGCCCATGGGGGGGGGGTATGTGGGAGGATGGGGAGGGACTTGGGGTCAGGGCTTACGTGCTGAGTGCAGAAGCGCTGGATGAGGTTGGCGTTGGCCAGGACCTGCCCGGCCAGTTGCTGCTGCTGCTCCGCAGTCCTGAGGACCAGGCGCCGCTTGCTGAGCCGCACGATGTACTCCTTCACCAGGTGCACGTGCACCAGCTCCATGAGCTCCTGGGCGGCCAGGGGCAGAGGCAGGGCCGTGAGCCTCCCCACGGAGCACACTCCCTGCGGAGCCGGCAGCCCCGGGCCGGAGTTCCGGGAGCACGGATGTCAGGGCCAAGGAGTGCGGGCACGCGGTGGGCGTGCCGCGCGGCGTGCAGGCCTGTTAGCTGCGGCCGGGCTGCGCGGCCGCCGGTCCAGCCCCCACCCCCCACCCTGCGGGAGCTCACCTCCTGGAAACACTCCCGCAGTTCCGAGAACTCGGGCAGCCGGGCCTCCACCACGGACACAACTTCCTCCAGAGTCTGCGCCGCGGCCGCCCAGCGGGTCTGCGTGAGCCTCTTGAACAGCGGCTGTGCCGGGAGGAAGGCAGGATGTCTGCCCGCCCTGCAGGGAAGGCTGCCAGCCGCTCACACGCACACACGCACACACGCTCACACGCTCACACGCTCACACGCACACTGACACGCAGGGTGGCCCGGGGGCCAGGGGACCCGAGAGCTGGTGGGACCCAGGGCGGGACTCAGGTCACTGGCAGGGAGTGGAAGGGGGTCTGCGTACCCTTCCCCCAGGATGCCCGGCTGGGGCTCCTTGCAGCGCAGACTGCCTGCTGAGGTCTTCCCCCCCCCCCCCCCCCCGACCTAAATAAATAAATTCCTGCGTAAACAAGGCCGCGCCTGACTGGTGCCAAGTCACCCGGGTCACGGTGCGGCCTCACGGCCAGCTGGTCACCCATGGCCTCCCACCCTGTCGCTGGGTACACGGCGGGCAGGCAGGGGCCCCTCCTGCTCCTCTCCGGGGACCCGAGCCCTCTGCTAAGGAACAAGGCCTTTCTGGGGGCTTCTTGGCCCGGCAGACATGGCGTGGCGGCGGCTGCCAGAGGCTCTGAGCATCACCGCTGGAGTTCGGCATGGGGACAGGCTGAGGGGGTCGGGGGTTGAGGGGAGTGTGTGCAAACTTGAGGACTAGGGAGGCCGCTGAAGTTTTCCTGTGTCCTCCCAGCCCTGGGAGGCCCCTCTGAGGCCGAGCCCCAGCCAACATGGTGGGGTGAGGGCTCGGGCTCAGGCTCACCAGCCTCTCCATACCCAGCCCCACACCGTGCCTCCCACATGGCAGCCTGGCCCCTGCCACTCTGCCCACCCCCTGGGGGGCCACCCCCCTGGTGGCCCCGGGCGGGCGAGTTACCTTCAGGTCCGAGAACAGGCCCTGGAGCAGGGTGTCAAAGCCATGGCTCTTGAGTTCATTCAGGGGGCGCAGGGGGTCCTGGGGCGCCTGCCACTTCTCTATGGAGATCCTGGAGGACATGGGGCGGGAGGTCACGCCGGCCCTGCAGGGCACGGCCCAAACCAAAGCCTGTGAGCCCGAGGCCAGTCTTCCTAACCCCCTCCTCCCTCTGGAACCCGCAGTCCCAGTCACCCCATTATAACCCCCGGGGCAGGCCCAGTCTGCTCACCCCTGCACCCCCCGCCCCACATCCTCTTCCTGACTGAGGTGTGGGAGCTGCTCAATGGGCAGAATCACTGCCCGATGTTCCAAGGACACAATCACTATGGACCTGTGCCCGAGGCGTGCCCCCACGGAGCAGTTCCCGAGGGGCAGGCCTCTCATCTCCACAGCCTTCCTCGCTTACTCTGCGGCTGTGCTTAAGCCGCTGTGGCCTCGCTCTCCCCTCACCTCACCCCCCTCCACAATCTCCTCTGCCTCCCAGCAGCCTTTCTCTCCAGCAGACAGGCTGGTGCTCTGCTCCCACCCCTGCCCGGCCTCCCGGCCTCGCCGCCCTCACCCTCTCACCGAAAGGTCAGGCAATTGTTGATGTTGGCCATGACATTGGCCCTGTAATTTCTCAGCTGTTTGCACCTCTCCAGAAAGTCATCAAAGGCCCGCTGGTAGCTGATGAGACAGGAAGGGGCGCTTGCAGGACCAGCACAAACACCGGACAGGAGCAGCGCCTCTCCCAGGGCGGCCCCTCGGCTTAGGGCGGCGGCTGGCCCTTGCACCCCACTCCCGGGCAGGGGCCGCCGCGCTCTGGGAGCCTGGAGGGGGCCGTGGGTAAGCCGAGGGGTCCTCAGAAGTGGGGAGGTTTCTGCCTCCGCGGCCCCATGGCTCCCGTGAAAAAGCTCGTGGCGAAGGGGTTCTGAGGTTTACGCTGGATGCGCCCACCCCGCAGAAGATGGAATCATGGACGCTGCCAACTTTGAGCAGTTTCTTCAGGAGAGAATCAAAGTGAACAGAAAAGCTGGGAATCTCGGCGGAGGGGTGGTAACCGTTGAAAGAAGCAAGAGTAAGATCACTGTGACGTCTGAGGTGCCTTTTTCCAAAAGATATTTAAATATCTCAGCAAGCCAGGACCGGTGTGGCTCAGTGGATAGAGCGTCGGCCTGCGGACTGAAAGGTCCCGGGTTCGATTCCGGTCAAGGGCATGTACATCCCCAGTAGGGGGTGTGCAAGAGGCAGCTGGTCGATGTTTCTCTCTCATCGACGTTTCTAACTCTCTCTCTGTCCCTTTCTGTGTAAAAACCAATAAAATATATTTAAAAAAGAAATATCTCACCAAAAAATATCTGAAGAATAACCTACGAGACTGGGTGCGCGTAGTTGCTAACAGCAGAGAGAGTTACAAATCGCGTTACTTCCAGATAAACCGGGATGAAGAGGAGGAGGAAGAGGAGGATTAAAGCTCATTTATCTGGCAAGTTTTGTATGAGTTCTTGAATAAGTGGGAGGGAGGCAGCCAGGAGTTGGGGGTGGAGACTAGGCTGTCACTGAAGGGGAGCCCAGGTCTCCGTCCCTCAGGGGCACCCTCTTGCAGCTGAGGGTGCTCTGCTGGGAGCTGTGCCAGTAGGGTGGGGGCCTCGGGGCCTAGGGCAGGGGGACAGACACCCTAGGGGCCGGAGGCGCACCAACCTAGCCTGAACCCGAGCCGGGCACAGGGCGGAGGCTGCAGGCTCTCTGGGCATGCCTGCACACACCCACCTCCTCAGAAACGCAGCCAGCTCCGCCAGCAGCATGCTCTTGATCTGCTTGCCCAGGTCCAGCGTGATGCTCTCGGCCTTGGCCTCGCCCTGGGAGATGATCTGCAGGGAGCGGGTAAGCTGAGCAGGGGCCCAACTGGACCGGGGGGGGGGGGGGGGGGCGGGCTCGGAGGCGGCACGTGTGCGCATCAGGGATGGAAGGGATGGACGGCGGGCTGTGGGCGTGGGCGGGCTGTGCCACCTGGATGATGTCGATGGCGAGCTCGCTGTGGCAGTGGCCGTTCAGCCTCTGGGGGGCCACATCCTGGGCCCAGCGCTGCGACTCCAGGTCCAGGGCTCGGGTCATCAGCTCCTTCACGCTGGTCTGGGGCAGGGACGAGTCAGGTCAAGGTCGCCAGGAACCCATCAGCCCTGCCCCGGGGAGCCCTGTCAGGTTCCCGGTGTCCCGTCCGCCCCCGCTTCCTTCCTGCCCGGCCCGGCCTGGCGCTGGCGCCCTCACGGACTCACCACCTCGTTGGACAGGAACGTGGCCTCCAGCAGCCGGATCTGCTTGGGGGGCAGGAGGCTGCCCAGGTTGAGCCCCTGCAGCTCACCTGCCAGCGAGGAGCTGTTGATGATGTCGCTGAGGGCAGAGGGTGCTGGCGTGAGGAGACAGCCGCCAGCTCCATCCTGAGCTGAGAGCCGCCCCCGCCTGCTCTCCACTGCCCTGAGCGCCACCGTGTGACCCCATGACCCATCCCGGCCTCTGCGTCTCCGATGATGGATCCTCTCCTGTTCCGGGAAAAAGCCTTGGCATCACCGTGCCTTTTTTTTTTTTATTTTTTTATTTTATTGAGCTGAAACCGGTTTGGCTCAGCGGATAGAGCGTCGGCCTGCGGACTGAAGAATCCCGGGATCGATTCCGGTCAAGGGCATGTACCTTGGTTGTGGGCATATCCCCGGTAGGGGGTGTGCAAGAGGCAGCTGGTCGATGACTCTCTCATCGATGTTTCCAACTCTCTATCCCTCTCTCTTCCTCTCTGTGAAAAATCAATAAAATATATTTTTAAAAATAAATAAAAATCAATATTTTATTGATTTTTTTACAGAGAGGAAGGGAGAGAGATAAAGAGCTAGAAACGTCAATGAGAGAGAAACATCGACCAGCTGCCTCTTGCACACCCACTACTGGGGATGTGCCTGCAACCAAGGTACATGTGCTTGACCGGAATCGAACCCGGGACCTTTCAGTCCACAGACCGACGCTCTACCACTGAGCCAAACTGGTTTCGACATCACTGTGCCTTTTACTCTCTCATCCACTCAGGCTCCAAAACATCGCCACCCCTGCCGCCCGCCCTGCCCCCATCAGCCTCCAGCCACCCAGCCCAGCCACTCCTTCCTCCCCAGCTCACTGCCACAGCTCCTCCCAGGCTCCTGCTTCCGCCCTGTCCACCGGCAGGCAGAACCTGCTGGCCGCCTCCTGCAAATCAAACCCCATCTCCCCTCTGACACAGCTACTCGCTCTCGCCAGCAGCAGCCTGGACCTGCCACCCCTCCCACCTGCCCTCCCTCTCACTCCCCTGCACCCCAGCCTGGGCCCCCTCCCTCCGGCCACCCGTGCTGCCCGCAGAGGCCGGCCGCCAGGCAGGAAGGGCTGCTCACAGGGCCCTGGAGGCGGCTCCCTCACCCTCCTGGCGCCTCTGCGGGGTCCGGGCCCCAGGGACGGCCCCACCCTGGCACTTCCTCAGCCTTTGTCTGCGGGAGGCTCAGGGGCGGCCTGGCCTCTCTGCCCCTCGCAGCGGGACGCCATGTCCCTGTGCTGCCTGCACTCCTGCCACACAGGCCCACAAAGCCTCCGAGCCCCCTCAGGGCTCCGGCCCAGCCGGCTCCGTTTCCTGCTGTCGACCCCTTGGGCCCGGCCAAAGGTCCCATCACCGGGACAGGAAGGCTGCCTGCCTGGCAGAGGTGTGCGTGCCCAGCGCTTCCTGGTGAGTCAGGCCGCAGTGCCTGCCTGTGCCGCCATCCTGTGCCGCCTCCCTGTGCCCTGCCGACTTCTCGCCCACCACCCACTGGGCCCTTCCTCCGGACCCGCTGACCTAGCAGCACCAACGGAGCCCCGGCCACCCAGGTGGCCCCCGAGGCCCTCACGGCTGCTCAGGCTCTGCCCTCCAGGCTTCCCCAGGCCTTCCACTTGGGGCTGGGCAAGGCACCCCTGGCTTCGTGCTGGACACATCCTCACTCGCTCTCTCCCCACCCAGCTGGTGCTGAGACCCACGGTCTGGGTAAACCAGGACACCTGACGCTGGACCCACGCCTGCCAGGTTCCCTCCGCCTCACCGCCAGCCTCCCACCGATGGCTCCAGGCCCCTTGGCCAGAGCTCAGCTCAGCTGTGGCTCCCAGGGGCGTCCCAGGAGGCCCAGCCCACCCCTGCTCTCCGTGCTTCCAGGGGCCCCATAGCCTGTCCATGAATCGAAACGGGGACAAGCTCAGCCAGCTCCCAGAATGCCTCCCCGCTCAGCTCAGGCCCAGGGGGTGACCCTTTGCCAAGAGCACCACCCTCCCCTGCCTTCCCCCGGCCCCCTCCCCTTCCTCTTGGGGGCCTGGGGGCTGTCCCTGCTCGGAACGTTGGCTCCTGCTCTCGGCAGACCCTACAGGCACCTCCTCAGCCCACTTCCCGGACTCACCAGGCCAGGCTAGGGCCCTGCCTTGGGCTCCCCCAGGCCCTGGCCCCTCTGCCACAGCCCTTCCAGCTCTGGATGGCCATCGTCTGCCCCACCCCGCGCCCAGTTCATGAATGAATGAAGTTCTTGGCCCAGCCGGCGTGACTCAGTGGTTGAGCATTGACCTGTGAGCCAGGAGGTCACGGTTCGATTCCTGGTCAGTCCACATCCTGGGATGTGGGCTCAATCTCGTGTGGGGCCTGCGGGAGGCAGCTAATCAGATTTCTCATTATTCATGTTTCTCCTCCCTCTCCCTTCCACTCTGAAATAATAAAATGTATTTTTTTTTTAAATAAATGAAGTCCCTGCCTTTCTCTGCACCCCAGTTGCCCCAACTGCCCCAGTTTCCCCAAGTGAGGCCCTGGAATGAATGGTTCCAGGTGCAAAGCAGACCCCAGCAGGCCTAGGCTTCATCCTGGCTCCGCCCACGGGGCCGCCCACAGGGACGCCTCCCCCCGACCATCCCCCTCCCCCCCCCCGCCCCGGGGCGCCTCCCCCCCATCTCCACCCCCTCCCACCACCACCCCCCGCCCCGGGGCGCCTCCCCCCCCACTATCTCCACCCCCTCTTCCCCCCCCCCGCCCCGGGGCGCCTCCCCCCCACCTCCACCCACCCGGGGCGCCTCCGGCCAGGCCAGCCCACTCACTTGGGGTAGAGGCTCTGCACCCAGAGCAGCAGCATGTAGGTGTCGCGCGGGCACAGCTCGAACTGCGCCATGGCCGCCACCTGGGCCGCGAAGTGCGCGTGGTAGGCCTCGGCGTAGGTGGCCACGACGCGGAACTCGGCGGGGAAGAGCGGCTTGAGGCGCTGCGCCACGGCCTGCAGGTCCTCCCGCATGGTGCGGCCCATGGCCAGGAAGGCGCGCTCGGCCTCCGACAGGCCCGGGGCGGCGGCGGGCGGCCGGCCCAGCCGCTCCTCGGCCGCGCGGGCCACGTCGCGCCGCCACAGCTGCAGCCAGCGCCGCGGCCGCGTGGGCGCCAGCGCGGGGGGCCCGGGCTCGGCGGCCGCGCGCCGGTCCTCGCGCTCCTGCTCGGCCAGCACGGCCAGCGCGCGCCGCAGCCGCCCGGGCTCGGCGTCCAGCGGCCGGCGCAGCGGGCCCAGCACCTGGTCGCGCAGCAGCGCGAACAGCGCCTCCACCTTGCTCTGCCGCCGCACCAGCTCCGCCTCGGCCGCGCCGCCCGCCGCCGCCGCCGCCCGCAGCTCCCGCTCCAGCCGCATCAGCGGCGCCGCCGCCTCCAGCTGCCCGCGCTCCAGGGCCGCCTTCAGCTCCTCCACTGCGGGGGGCACGGCGTCAGCGCGGCCGCCGGTCCAGCCCCCAAACTGGGCAGGGGCGCAGGGGAGCCCGCGGGGGAGGCGTCCATGCCCACCGCCGCCCGCTCTCCTGGACAGCGCGCCCGCCCGCCGGCCCTGACACGGACCCGAGCCCCGGGCCCAGCCTACCTGTGGGCAGCGGGCCCGCCGGCCCCGGCGTGGCGTCCGGCTTGCAGGCGGGCTCCACGGAGGCGGCCGCGCCCTTCTTCTTCTTCCCTTTGGTGAAGAGGCCGAACATGGTGGCCAGGCCTTTGGACTTCTTCTTGGAAGTCTCCGCCTCATCCCGCTCCGGGGCCTCCGGGGGTGGCACCAGGTCCTCCGAGGAGGCCTCGGACATGGAGGCCTCGGACTCCGCCTCCGACGCCGAGCGAAACTTGAGGGGGCTCCCCAGGAAGTCAAGGGCCCCTGCTCCGGGCAGGCCTTGGAAGGTCATCATCTTCAGCATCGCTCGGGCTCAGGCCTGGGCCGAGGGGAGGGCAGGCAGTCAGCGTCACAACACTCGGCGGGCAGCCTCGGTGCGCTGCCAGTCCTCCCCGGGTGGCCACCTGGGCACCAGCTCCGCTCCTGCCCAGACCGGGTTTCTCAGCCCACACCGCGCCTCCCCCAGCCCCCACCCTAGCACCGCCAGGCAGGGAACAGGCCCAGGCCCCCCCTCCTTCGCTGGCAAAACTTGCTCGGCAGCCCACCCTCTGGGCAGGGGCTGCAGAGCATGCGCCCTGGATCCCACGGGGCATTGCACGGAGCATGGACCGAGGCCCGGGGGGGCCGAGGCAGCGAAGGCTGGCTGAGGCAGAGGCCCCCTGCACGCCCTCCATCTGGCCAGCGCTTCTCTGGTCCTGTCTGGCTGTGGGGTCTCAGAGGGACACTGAGCAAGCAGAGCCGTCCCCTAGCCTGGCTGTGGGTACAGAAGCCACAGGCGCCTCCCACACCAGGGGGAAGGACCTCGGAGAGTAACCCAGTGGGCCTGGCCCCGCTTCTCCCTGCTCCCACACGGGTGAGGTCAGTACCACAGCAGCTTTCACTCTCTGTGCCTTTCGGGTGCCCAACCCCTCACTCCCCCTGGGGGGCGAGACACGTCATCTCAGGGACAGGACTCGGGGAGGCCTGAACACCCCACAGGCAGCAGCGTGAACTGGAGCTCACCCCCTGCCTCCGGTCCCCCAGCACCTTGCAGGCTGCACCCCCGAAGGCAGGACCCTGTGCCCAGCAGGCTCGGCCACTCAGAGCAAGGCCAGGGCCGTGGAGGGAGCACGGCCGACCCCAGGGAGTGAGCGAGGCAGAGCAGGAAGAGGGAGCAGACGGGCCAGGCCTTCCTGGGAACGGGTGACCCATCTCCCACCCCAGAGTGAATGCCCAGGCATGAGGCACGCAGCAACGACAGCTGCCCGGCGCAGCCTACGCAGCCAGGGGGAACGGAGTGTGGGTGATGCGGGGCTCAGCTTGACCTTCTGGAGCCCCCACTGCTTCCCATCAGCCCACACCCTGTCCCATCCCCGCCTCCCCCCTCCCCCCCCGCTCGCTGCTCACCCCAACCCCTGAGCTTGGCCAGAGCCGCTCGGGGCCAGGGCGCCTGGCTTGTTCTCACTGGCCTCTCGGGGGGCCCTGGGCGGGGTCCTCCAGCGCTTCCCCTGCCACGTGGCCTGGTGGTCCCACTGCAGAGCCCAGGAGGGGTGCTCTAGGGAGCCCCCAGACCAAGGTCCCGTCTCTGCCTTCCCACCACCGCCCCAACATCCCTCCCAATCCGTCCATTGCATACCACTCACCCATAGGAGCTGGCCTGGCCGCTGGTGGGTGCCCAGGGCCCCCCAGGGGCCTGCCCCACCTCTGCCCCCCTCCTGGGGCGAGGCAGAGGCCATCCTGACCCGCAGGGGCCCCAGCCTCACCCTGCCCACCTCCCAGTCCCCACACAAGCTGGGCTCCGTCTGACCTCCAGACGCTGCTCTGGCGGGTCCCCACGGGGTTCCCCTCCTCCCCTGGGCACAGACTCCTCAGGCCCCCAAACAGCAGACCCGCACCGCCCAGCGCCAGCCGCGGGGCCCAGGGAGGGTGCGGGGTCAGCCAGCAGGGGCGGCAGAGTTCGCTCCGCTCAGCGCAGCCCTTGCTGGGCAGTGAAGATACGGGGGCGGCTCAGTCACACTGGGTGACATCCCGTCCTCCCCCTCCTCCTCAGGCACACAGCCCCCTCCTCCCTCCCCTGGGGTCAGGCTGCGGCCACACCCTCCCCTGCCTCTGCTCCGGGGTCCTCCAGGCTGCAGGGGGAGGGATGGCTGGGTCACACAGCCCCCTCCCTGCCTCCTGAAATGGGGAGACCCGCACCCACCCCACAGCCCCCTCCCTGCCTTCCCCAGGGCACCCCCCTGCCTTCCCCAGGGCACCCCTTCCTGCCTCCCCCGGGACACCCCCTCCTCCCTCCCCCAGGGCACCCCCCGCTGCCTTCCCTAGGGCACCCCTTCCTGCCTCCCCCGGGGCACCCGGCTGCCTTCCCCAGGGCACCCCTTCCTGCCTTCCCCAGGGCACCCCTTCCTGCCTTCCCCAGGGCACCCCCCTGCCTCCCCCAGGGCACCCCGCTGCCTCCCCCGGGGGGGGGCACCCCTTCCTACCTCCCCCGGGGGCACCCCCCGCTGCCTTCCCCGGGGCACCCCTTCCTGCCTCCCCCGGGGCACCCCTTCCTGCCTTCCCCAGGGCACCCCCCGCTGCCTCCCCCGGGGGGCACCCCGAGCTTTGAGCGCAACCCGGTCCTCAGCGCCCGCTGCGCAAGCCCGGGGCAGGCGCCTCAGTTTCCCCGGAGGCGGGGCTGCGGGGTGCCAGGGCCTGGGTCGGCCGCCCCCTCGGTCCCCGCCGCCGCCCCCCGGATGACCGGGCGCCCCCCCCGGATGACCGGGCGCCCCCCTGGAGGACCGGTCAGCCCCCCCCAGGAGGACCGGGCAGCCGCCCCCGGAGGACCGGGCAGCGCTCCCCCGGAGGACCGGGCAGCCCCCCACAGGAGGACCGGGCAGCGCCCCCCCGGAGGACCGGGCAGCCCCCCCCCGAGGACCGCCCCCCCCCCCCGGAGGACCGGCGGCCGCGGGGCGATGGACGCGGAGAGGAGTCACTTACTGAGCCGCCAGCCGCCTCTGCCCCGCGGCGCCGCGGCCTCAAAAAGCCTCGCCCGCCCCGCCTCCCGCCCCGGAGCGCGGGCGGGGCTGCCGGTCCGGAGGCGGAGCGCCCCCCCGCCGGCCGGGCCGCCCAGCAGGCACGGGAGGGAGGGTCCCTCTCCCCCCGGGCGGGGCCGGGCCGGGGGCGGCCGCCGCGGGCCTCCGGTGTTGGGGCGCCGGGACCCTTACCCACGGCCGCCGGGGACCGGCTCCCGCTCCCCCCCATGGTCAGCGGCGCTGCTGATTGGCTGCTGGAAGCCCCGTCCCGCCCGCCCAGGGCAGCCCGCGCCCTGCGTCACAGAGCGGAGGGGCGCCCGGGGGCTGCGGGGGCCGCTGAGGACGGAGCCCCGGTGCGGGGCGCTGCATGCTCACCGGCAGGGCCCCCGGAAAGGAGCCCGAATCCCCCCCAGGCCAGGACCCCGCTGAAGGGCCCCCCTTCTGGGACCCGGGCCGGGCCGGGCCCGACAGGCTCCTGCGGGCAAAGCCAGGGCCCAGGCAGCCCGGGCTTGAGCCCACTCAGCCCGGCTCTGTCCTCCCGTGCGGCCTTGAGCAGCTCACCCCTCTCTGGGCCTCAGTCTCCCCTCTCTGCCCGGCTGCCAGGCCTGTTCCGGGTGGGGAGAGGGTGCTGGCGGAGAGACCCCAGCGGCGCACCCTGGCCATGGGACACGCCAGGAATCCCTGCCCTCTGGAAAGGACAGTCATTCAGGAATTTCCCGGCTGAGCCACTTCCCTTTTGCTGCCTCGCCCCGGCCCCTCTTGTTTGCTCCCTGACCCCTCACCTCGGGGGCAGCTCCCCCGTGGGCCTGGGAGGGTGGCAGGGCGGGCGGGGCGGGAGGGGGTGCCCCGGGGGACGAGAACTTCCTCTTCCTCTTGGGTGGCAGTGCCAGGCTTGGGTTTGGACACGGCCCTGTCCCTGTTGGCGCTTGGGAGGAGGGGCGCTCCTTCCCTCACCCTTCCCCTCCCTGGCACCCGGCATTTTTCAGAGAAGCCAGCCGAGGGGCTGGGGGGTCATCCCATCTGCCCCACAGATGATGGGGAGCCGAGAGGCCAGGCCCCCAGGCCATCCAGCTGCCAGGGACCCTGGGGATGAACCCGGACCTGTGGCCGCATTGTGCAAACGTGCTTTCTGGTCAGGCTGCCGCCGCCCACAGATGGGGACACCTGTGAGGCTCGGGTGGCCTGGTGGGCAGCGCCGGAGTGACGCTCCGCAGGGCACAGCCTGGACTGCAGCCTGGCAGCCTGCCCCCTCACGCTTCACCTGAGCAGCGGCCAGGCCCGGCGGGTGGGGGGGAGGAGGGGAGGGGGGAGGGGAGGGGGGAGGAGATGAGGGGGGAGGAGGTGAGGGGGTGGGAGGGGAGGGGTGGGAGGGGAGGGGTGGGAGGGGAGGGGGGAAGGGAGTGGGGAGAGATGCCTGCCCTTGTGTGCTGCACCAGTCACTTCCCAAGGGCAGAGGGTGAAGCCCCGGTGAGGGAGGCCCTCTCCCACGGGCGGGCGTCGCTGAGGCGGTGACAGCTGGGGGAGGGGCGCTGACAAGGCGGGAGCTATTCTTACTCCTGACCAGGGAGAGCCAGCCGCGGGCCAGCCAACAATCCCCCTCGGCAGGAGGGAGCGTCCGATGCGGTGGGAGTGCTGCTGGCCAGCTGCTGGCCCTCCCTCCCAGTTCTGTCCCGTGTCCCTCCCCTCGGGCTCCTGCTGCGAGGAGGGTGTCAGCAGGAGCCGTGGGCGGTCTGCTCCCCACTGTGACCAGGGCCCTGGCCCACCACACGCCTGTCGCTCTGCCTCCGCCCCTCTGCTCAGCAGGGACGCTGACCCGGTCCTTAGACCTGTGGCCACAGATGCTTAACAGAAAGGACCATTGGGTCCCGGGCACGTGCAGCTGGGCGCGTGCCCCTTCGCCCTGTGGTGCCGCCATGGCCGAGCCGTCTGCGAACTTTGTTCACCTGAGAAACTCACCGGGCACTGCCCCCTCCCCTCCGCCAGCCCCTGGCGACCGCCCTTCTGCTCCACACACTGGCCCTTCCGAGCGGAAGTGCAACCGCACAGGGTCTGTGCGTGGGCGCCGGCTCGCTTCTCTCAGCGTGCTGCCCCCACGGTTCGCCCCTTCCCGCCCCCTGGAAGACTGGGCGCCGCTGTTTGTTCACGGCACCGCTGAGAACACGTCCGCCCGCAGCCTGCGTCCATCCTCGGGGCAGACCGCTGACTCCGAGGACTCGCAGCCTGAGGGCTTTGCCGTGTGTACTGCTTCCGTGGGTAAGGTGACCAGACGCCCGCTTTTGGCCGTCCCTTACCCATGGGCAAGCCTCTGAGGTGC